GCTCTAGCTCCGCTTCCCTAGTCCTGCCAGTATAAAATATTCTGCTCAACGCCTCGTACTGCCTGTTGGCCTGCAGAGGCCCCAGAACTGGGAGGACAAGAGCACACCTGAGGAGGAGGAAACAGGGTAAAGGGCCAGAGCAGGCCCCAGAGCTGGCTGCGGAGTGAACAGCCCAGGCTCAGGCCACCAGCAGCAAAGGCACAAGGCTGCTAACTGCCACTACACCTTGAAGGTAGGTTCAGGGGCAGCCCAGAAGGATAGAGCCAGGCAGGGAGGGGCTGTGGCAGCTCCCGCAGCCCGATGGGCTCCACATGGCCTAGCCGGCAAGGGGAGAGTGGTGGCCACCATTTCTTGGGCATTGCCCTCCCTGCGTCTGTCCTTCCTGTGGGTGCCACAAGCCATGGTCAGTGCAGTGTAACATTTAGCCTCCTAACCAGGCCAGACAGGCACCCTGAGGTCACCTGCTACATCCTCGCTGTGGTCAGGGCCTGAGTGTAGACCTGAACTTGCGTGACCTTTGGCCCAGCCCGGCACCACCCTCCCTGCAAGGCAGCTCACTCACTGGAAGCAGGGCCTGGCTCCGGCGGTGCCCCGCAGGTACTGTCGCAGGGAGCCCAGGAACTCGCCCAGCTGCTCTGGGCACACAGCCATCTCTTGCCGGACCAGCTGCAGGTGCTGCGGACAGATGCTGAGGAGCATGGGCCCTCACCCCACCCTCGGGCCCCCCCCAAGGTCCTGTCCCATTCCCCAGTGCCTTCCCTTGTGGGGGACAGGACAACTGGGTCAAGATTAGAGTCAAACGTCAGCGCCTACGGTGTATTCCCCCCACTGAAAGCTGGCGGCAGGGACTAGACCTGCTCAGCAGGCATACACGTAGGGCCCCATGGCCCCTGCCAGGAGCTCGCCTGAAGGGGCTGCCTGCCAGGCCTGAGCCCTAGGGGCTGTGCTCAGAGGTCTCCTGCCACCCACACTGCTCCAGTGCACTGATTTGGAGCAGAGCCCTGGGCGAGGGGCCAGGACTGCAGCCACTCGGGGGAGTGGGAGCCACACAGAGCACCGGGTATAGCGGGGAAGGGCAGAGCCTCACCACGTTGGTGCCTTCCTCAGCATCAGAGAGGCGCTGCTGCAGGTCAAACCAGAGGGTCTGAAACAGTGGAGCACAAGCCACGCCTGAGAGACAGGCCGCCTCCAGCAGGGAGGCCTCCAGGAGTCCTCGGGGCACCCCAGGGCCGAGCTCTGACACTGGACCAAGGCTCCCAGGGCCAGGGAAGGGGGCGGGGGCCCTGAGCAGTGCAGCAGGTCTTCCTGCATAAGAGGCTGCGAGTGCTGTTGCGCAGGGAGGCCTACTCCAGGACCCGAGGGGCTTGCGGGGAGGGTGGCACTAGGGCTTGAATATAGGGGCTTCAAAATGAGCTATAGTCCCATCCCTTTTTGAGACGAGGTCTCCATAAGTTACCCTGGGTGGATTTGAACTTGGAATCCTCTTGCCTCAGCCTCCCTCCCAAGTGCTGGGATTATAGGCATGTGCCACCACGCCCACCCTGACACTGCCAGTCGTGACATCAGGCTGTCTGTGAATCTAATGGTCTTACTTTGGTGCTGTGTGCAGGGACCTGCCAGGCCCTGCAGCAAAGGGCTACACATGCCTTCATCGTCTGCCTCCCCCAGGCAGGAGCAGTTCCACACAGGCTCTGTCCGTCTCTGCACTTGGCATGCTTAGCCCCTGCTCCAGCCATTGCTCAACACCAGACAACTCTGGGCTCAGTGCTCACCAAAGCTGGCTAAGTGTAAGGGCCTGGCTCAAACCAGACATGTCCAGATCCCAGCTCCTACATCGCATGCTCCGTGCAGCGCTGGCCCCGGCCGCCCACAGGGATACAGCACCTGCAGCCCCCTGGAGAGCACACACCCATCCTACGAAGCTATCTGTTGTCAAGGGAGACAGCAGCGGTGTCCCCACCTGTGCCTTGGTGTTTGCACAAGGGGCCTGCACAGCCCTTGAGCAGGCACTGACTCCTCAGGGAGGGGGAGGAGGAGCCCGTGCTCCAAGCCTGAGGGCGAGCCTGGCAGGGACCAGTCTGCTTCCATCATTTCAACCCTGGATGTGGCCCCTGGGGGACGAGGGAGGCAACTAGCTTCTCCTATAAGATGACAAGAGGGAAGATGATGGCCCCCACATCTCCACTCTCCCATCTGGCTAGGCCAGAAGGTGGCTCAGGTTGGCACTCAGGGGGCAGGCCAAGATCCAGGCCCTGATTGGCCTGTGCTGGAGTGCAAGGCCAATCAGAAACCAGAAGGAGGGCCCCGCCTTGTCTCCAGGACACCCAGGTGCTCTGTAGTTACCAGCCTGCATGGTTGTTAGGGCGACAAGGATGCTAAAAATAAGCTTCAAAGAGTCTCTTTGCTGGCTGCTGAGTTGTTATGACAACAGACCAGGGTCCTCCAGAGCTGCTCCCACCCAACAGCCTGGGTGGGGTGGGGCGGGGCATGGGGGATCCCACTCAGGCCTCAGCCTTGCTGCCAGCCTGCAGCCTCCTCCCATGACCTTCTCCCCATGGGACCCTGCTTCTCAGGCAGACCCTGGTTTCTGCTCTGTGAATTTCTCCAAACCCCAAATCCACCAGAGCGTGAGTGCCCTCTGCTAAAGACGAGAAAGATAAACACCAAAAGGGACAAAGGTCACCTCATCCTGGCTGAGGCACCTGTTACACGGCTTATGTAGGTACACGGGGGCGCTGTGTGCATGTGTGTGCGGATTCTGGTAACAGGATGCCTAATAATAACTGTCAACAGTGCTGATATTAAATGCTGCCTGGGATAGAAGGTTCTGTGGCAAGTCAAGACGTCATCTTCTTTAATCCCAACACCACCCTGAGATGGGTGTGGCTGGGCTGCTCTATCATCAGAGGTGGAAGGCTTAGAGACTGAGTCACTTGCCCAAGGCCCCCCAGCCTGACGTTCCATCTCATCCATCTATAAGCCCAACGCAAATTGTTTTTCTCTTGCTTCAAATGGTCACATGTGCTCTCCTGGGTCACAAACCCTTTCCTGAACGTGTGGCTTTAGAAAGGCTTGCCATTTGCTGTCCTATGCTCCTGTAGCTGCTGCCCACCTCCACACCACCTGGCTGACACCTCCTCGAGGCTCCCTGACCTGCCAAGCCACCCTGGAGTGCACATAGGGAGGGAGGGCGCAGCTCACCTTGTGCTCCAGCCTCCCAATCAGCTGTGCCAGCCGGTTGACCTGGGCTTCCAGACTCTCCTCCTTGGGGTCCCCTGGGACTAGGAAAAAACCCAGGGACCCGGATGACCAGCAGGGCTGGGGCAGGGGGTGGGGGTGGAGAATGGAGCATCCAGCATCCTGGCCAGGTTCCATCTGGGTGCCCGGGCCGCCTCAGGACCGCAGGCAGTGTCCCACCCTGGGCCACTGCTCCCTCTCACCAGGTGGAAGGCTCTTCCTGGGTTCCACAGGCACGGGGGCGCAGGGAGGAGTGGGGCTGCCATACCAGCTCTCCACGGCACCAGGGCTGGGTTTGCTATGGTTCTGCCTGCAGTGAGTGGAGGAAACACTCAGCGAAGGCAGTGGCCACAGCTAGCAGCGCGCACCTTTGTCTTCTGAACCCAGCTGTGGGCTGAGTTGGGCTCAGAACATACTTAAGAAGAGGGCCACACATTCTGCATATGCAGTGAGAGGTTGGGGACCAGGCAAGGCTGGCTGGGCTCAGAAGTGGCGCCTCAGCGGTGCGTGATGGGAGCGCACACCACGCGCCTCCGCTCCCTCCGCACCGCCCCAGAGCGCTAGGGGCGTCGCTGTCCCCATGGTATCGCTGAGAGCGGGAGGCAGAGGCAGGGGCAGCGCTGCGCCCAGGGTGACCGACCAGCTCCCAGCACCACAGCGCAGCGTGCGCCCCTCCAGACCCCACGCCCTCCCCCACCGGATCTGGCTGGTCTGCTCCTCAATGGCTTCCACCGCACTCTCCACGGAGCTGAGCAGCGACTGGATCTGATTGGCTGTCTCCTTTAGAAGGAAGCGCGTGACAAACTGGTCCACGTTGCTCCCGCCCTCGTAAACCTGTGGAGGGAAGGGCACAGCACTGAGGGAAAGCGGTGCGAGGACTTGCACGAGGCAGGCCTGGCCGGGCTGCCGTCTTTGCTGTGTGGCTGTGTGCGACTGGGGGGCGGGGCTGGGTCTGCACTGCCTCCTGCATGGCAGAGGCCGCCGAGCACCCAGAACAGGGCGGCGCACTCGAGGGAGCGCAGGGCTGCGCCGCACACGGGCTCTGTGGCCTCCTCGAGCGCGCCAGGCAGTCCTGCGGCACGCGCAGCCCTCACAGTGCGCCCGGAGCTGCCCCGGGTCTACCTCACTGAGCTGCGGTGAGGAGTACCAGCCGCTCGGCCCGGAGCAGCTCCATAGAGGGGTGCGCAGCAGCGGCTAGAGCAGGCGCAGCTGGGGGATGGGGGCCGCGGCGGTGACGAAGAGGACAGCGTGGCGATGAGAACGTGGTGAGGGGGTTAGTGATGGTGCAGAGGTCAGTGGCGTCAGCAACGCCTGGAGGTGGCTTCTTTGTGGCTTTCGGTTTTGTTGGAATGGAGATAAAGGATTAGGAAAGAAGTCACCACTCCTGTCCCTCCCTTTCTCCTGCACGGAGAATTCTTTGGGGTCCTGGGTCTTTATGTCGCTACACAAAGAAATGATAGAAAATAAGCAAATGCAGCCGAGCAGGTTAACCAGGCAGCCAAGGCAAGTGCCAGAGCCTCCGCCCTCAGGAGGAGGGAGAGGGAGTGCCGGCACACGCCGCCGTGGGGAGGGGCCTCTGGGGAGAGGCGGTGGGCCAGCAGGCCTCCCTGCGGCCAGGCTCTGTGGAGCAGGGCGGGACACTGGCATTTCTTGGCCGAGATTCTTTGGCTGCAAAAAGCTTTACAGCTGATGAGCGCAGACTCTGGCTTCTCCAGGCCACTCAGGGAATGAAAGGGAGAGGAGAAGGTGACAGCCATGCAGTGGTGGGGGCGAGGGGGAGATCCTGGGTCTCAAGCCTAGCGCTGCTTCCTGGCCTCCTCCCCCAAGAGCCTGCCTCTCTGAGCCACCTGCCCCCGCACCTTGGAATACTGCCCAGTCCCTGGCAGGCACAGGGAAAGCAGGCTCTCAAGGAAAGCAAATTAAACCATCCATCACTCTGACTGGGATTAATTAGCAGTAACTGCAAAGTGGGAAACACAACCAGGAGAGGGAGCACTGAGAGAGGTGGGCGCAGGGCTGTGCGGATCCCCAGTGCGGGCACCCGGAGGCCACCAATGGACACGGAATGTTGGCTGCAAGTGGCAGCCTGATGTATCCCAGTGAGGATTTTCCTTCAGGGTGGACAGTTGAAACCATTTGTGACGCAGTGGTCAGTGCCCCGGGACAAAATGACGACAGACTGTGGTAAAGAAAAGGCTGCCAGGAAGTTCTTGGGCAGGACAATGGCCAGGGCTCAGCAGCGGCGACTGCGTGGACAACTTCCGCAGAAGACAAGTTATTTCAAAAGAACGGAAGTGAAGCTTTAACAGCTCTGTCCCCTGCCACAATCAGGACCTGGCCTAGTGCAGCGCTGCACATTCCAGAGTGAAGGAACAGATCTAGAGATTCTGCACGCAATGGACCGGTTACTCTGAAGGCCAGCAGGGAGCCAGGCAGAAATCTGCGGAGCTATGACGTCTACCAGAGGAGCGTGTGTTTTGCAAAGAATGGTGAAGAACCTTCTCTTAAACCATCTCAACTTTGAGTGAGAGAGAAAACCCTTGAGTAGGGAAGTTCTGACTATAGACACTCACATTACACTCTAGGGTAACAGAGGGCCAGAAAAAACAAAACAAAACCATTTCACTGTGCATGACACTGGGCTAAATTTTAAAAACTATGGAAAAAACAACCTTACATCTTAAAATTCCCTTTATTCCCAAATGAAATAGAAGGTGTTTTTATTAGCTAGGTATAAAAATAAGATTACGGGGCTGGGGAGATAGCTTGGCATCTAAGCGCCTGGCTACCAAGTTCAATCCCTGGTGCCATGCGCTATGCAGGCTGGGAAACTGGGTGTGGCAGCGCAAACCTGTAATCCCCAATGCCAGGGAGGCTGACACAGGAAGATCACTATGAGTCCAAACTGCGTAGTGAGACCCTACATCTAATTTTAAAAAATTTAAAAATAAGATCATGAATATTGTTTCTTTAAAGGCCACCAATAAAATGAAAATGGTAATTTTTACCCAGTAAGTCACAAGCAGCAGCCATGACCATCAAAAGGAAAACTGAAAACAGGGTTAAGAAAAAGGGAAGAATGAAAATTCAGGTTAGACAAGATTCATGATAAAGGAGGAACCTGGGCCTCCAGGTCTCCTGAGGTGGCGAGACACCAGGTGCCAGGTACCCTCGGACACAGCAGCACAGGGTTTTCCAAAGGGAACGCCGGGCCAGGGTCCTGTGAGCGGGTCAGGTCGGATGAGCAGGACTGGTGGGGATCATTACTGGGCTAAAACTGGAGAGCGTGCGCTCAGTGAGACGGGAGGGCGAGAGGGGCGGGAATGTGCGGCTGCAGCCCTGCAAGGCGCTGACAGATGCAGCCGTGGGAGATAGATTTTGTTGCTTGTCAGGATCCGTAAACTGGATCCAGGGAGATGGCTCAGCGGTACAAGTGCCAGGCTGGCAAGTGCAAGGACCAGGTTAGATCCCCAGTCCAAAAACAAAATAAAAAACTATAAACTGTTCAGATTCTTTAACCTAAAAGCTCCCAGTTCTGACTATTCTTAAAAAAAGAGCAAATTATAAAATCTGTAGGCTATTAGTTACGGTATTGCTCGTAACAGTGAAAACACGGCGCTAACCCAATGTGCCCAACAGTGAGGGCAACCAGGAAGTTCGGGCACTTAAAACGATGCTTTTCAACAGTGTCAGTAACAAGGAAAACTCTGGGTGTTAGGTTACAAAAAGAAAATAAACTTCAGTAACAGAATATTAAAATATTAAATGCATATGCAAAAAATTAAGGTAATGGAAAAAATTAAGGTGATAATTACAATCTCCGTGGAGGTTAAAGGTCCTGGGATTCAAAGTGACCTGCAGCTTTTCGCTAATGCTTAAATGTTACACATGGAACATCTACCACTTATGTAATAAAAATATAACAAAAGTATACACATTGAACAACGTGGCCACAACACACGAAAAGAAAAAAAATCAGAAGAATTTTTTTGGCTGGCTCAGTCTGCCAAGGCATGGGGAGCTGGCGATCCAATCGCGGTCCCCTGGGCTTGACTGGGTTTGCCCCAGCAGGCGCTTAACAAGTGCGCTAACCTGCAAGCCCCCAAGGAAAAAAAAATAGAAATACAAAGATTACATGACAGAACGTTTTAGCGTGAGAAATGAGCTTGCCATTGTTGCACAGACAGATTGGTTAGGCAGTAATAGGGCACAAAGCACATCATCAGAAACCAACTGTGAAAGCCTTAGAAATGGGCAAAACTGATGCCCATCTACTATCTGGTATAGTTCTTTAGATTAACTCTTTCTTTACATGGGAGCTGTTCTAAAAATTCTGTAAGACATAGAAAATTTGCAGCAATGTAGTAATGCTCAATCACAGGACCGCCTGCTGCTTCATGGAACGCAGTCGCTGTTGGTTGCGGGTGGTGAGCGGCAGGGCACTCATGCCCAAATTCACTTCCAAATTCTTAGCCGCCTGCACACACACTCTCTCTTCTCTCTCGCGCTCACCTTCTCCATATTCTCCTCTGAGCCAGCTATGACATCCTGCTGGTTCAAGACCTTCGATGCGTCATGTGTATACATTTAAAAACTGTCTTTCACCTGCAGGTGGTGGTGCACACCTGTAATCCCAACAACCCAGGAGGCTGAGGAGAAAGGATGCCACACACAAGCCCAGCCCTGGCAACTCAGCAATTTAGTAAGACCCTGGCTCAAAATAAAATAAAAAGGGTAAGGAAGGCCAGGTGTGGCAGCATGCGCAGGTAATACCAGCACTCAGAAGGCTGAGACAGGGGCCGAGGATATAGCTCAGTGGCATAAGCACCTGCCCAGCAAGTGCAAGGTCCTGAGTTCAATCCCCGGTACTGCAAAAATATAATAATAATAACAACAACAACAGAAGGCTGCAGGAGGATTGCTGTGAATTGGAGACCAGCCTGGGCTTCAAAGTGAGCTCAAGGCCAGCTTGAGCTGCGTGAGGAGACACTGTCTCAAAAAGATCAAAAATAAAGAAAGGGCTAAGGATATAGTTCAGTGCAAAAGCACTAGATTCAAATGCCCAGTATGGGGCTGGTGAGATGGCTCAGTGGTCTAAAGCACCTACTTAGAACAAGCTTAGTAAAGCACGGGGACCGCGGTTCAATCCCCCAGCCCCCTGGTGGGCTGAGCTGGCCACACACACACACACACACACACACACACACACAATTTAAAAAAAAAAAGCATAAGATCCTGAGTTCGATTCCAATACCAAAAAAAAAAAAAAAATGCCCAGTACCACCAAAATAACAACAACAACTCCCCAGCACCCATCTTTTCACAGCACGTGTTTCAGGATGAAGGGTAACCCTTTTCAAATTTTATATTCTTCATGCACCATTCCTCTCTTCCCTAAACTCATGGCAGAATTGTAAAAACCAGTGCAATCTTGCGCCATGAAGAGCTCCCAGTAACTGCAAGGCAGAAGAAAGCTCCCTGGTCTCTGGTTTTACCAGAACACAAGGATGTGAGACTGAGGAGGATCCCGCAGACTACCCTGGGAGCAAAGCTGCCACAGCAGCAGGCCTCTGGCCGCTGGGGAGATTTCACTCCAGGGCAGCTTTTTTCTCCAAGAAGAACCACCTTGCAGCACACACGCAGAAAAGAACAGCCGCACCAACAAACGCAAGGAGTCGGACAGCATCTTGGGGCAGGAACGGGGCAGAAGCTGGCAGAAAGGACCTCGAAACTTAGGCTGGTGCTACAAACAGCCAGTGAGAACAGGCAAAACTGATAAAAGTAAGAGTTTAAAATGCAGGAAGTCTGCCTGGCACAATGACACACCCTTGCAGTCCCAGCACTCAGGTGGCTGAGCAAGAGGAGGGCCATGAGTTCGAGGCCAGCCTGGGCTACACAGTGAGACCCTGCCCCCAAAATAATGTAGGAAATGAAATCAAATTTAAAGTGAAATCTTGGCTGCTATCAAATTTTATTTTCCACTAGTGCCTCTTTTAAGAGTGTCAGATGATGCTTTTGATTTTTAAAAATAATCCTAAGATTCATATATGATGGATCAGAAAACCAAAATTGTTCAAAACGATACCAAAATGGATACAAAAACCAATTCTGGTGCTATTATGGGCTACTGGACTCTTTTAGAATATTTTGCTGAGTTTACACACCTATAATATTCAACAACGGAACTTAGAAAAAATGGGGTATACCGATGAATGTCCATTTTGTATCTGTGTATTCAAAGTGGTTGGGATAGATATATAGTTGCATTCTCTTAATGAATAGAATGATTTGTTCTAATGGTGTTTGTAAATAGGATCTCAAGTCCACATCTTGTACAGCAATTAACCACTAAGAAGAATATATGCAGTGTGTTATTTGTTGAAACTGTACTTCCGATTTGATTTGAAACTGTCTCATTGCTATCTGTTTATCAATAAAACTTTGAAAAAAAAAAACCAATTCTGGTTTTGAATAGAAAAGCAATCCTCGGACCAAGAAGTTGGGTCACACCCAGGAAACATTTAAACTACCTCCTCACTCACTCCCAAACCACGATCTCATCTCTGTCCCCAAGGAGAGAGATGACACACTTGGCGAGTGACACGAGTGGTGCAAGATGACAAAGGAATTATGTTCCCATGAGAGTTTATCACAGGCAGCCGCGGACTGTTCAATATGAGAACCTAAAAATAGAACCCACCCCATCAGTGGCTGCGGAGAAATCATCTGATCATTTATAAAAACGAAAAAAGCATTAGGAAAAATTTGCTACCACCTCCTGAGACAAAATCTTAACAAAGAGAAGGCAAAAATACCTCTGTAACAGGCCAGAGAGAGTCTAAAATAAACACTGGTATTAATTTTATAGCGAGTGCAGAAATGCCGCAGGGGTACGCCGGGGAGCTGACGCACAGCAGGGACCCCGGCGTGGCGTTAGCAGGGGAAGCAGGGCCAAGTGCAAGCCTGCCCTGTGGGGGGGGGGTCCAGTGAGCGGCCCACACACAAGCTTGTGGCGTTAGCAGGGGAAGCAGGGCCAAGTGCAAGCCTGCCCTGTGGGGGGGGGGGTCCAGTGAGCGGCCCACACACAAGCTTGTGGCGTTAGCAGGGGAAGCAGGGCCAAGTGCAAGCCTGCCCTGTGGGGGGGGGGGTGGCCCAGTGAGCGGCCCACACACAAGCTTGCGGTAACGACTGAAGGCCTCACAGAAGCGAAGCCGTCAGCTAGAGCCAGACACTTAGCGCCTAACCAGCGAGCTGCTCCTCTACAAACAGGAAGGCCCGCCAGGAGGTTACGCCACAGAAAGATGCCGGCTGTGAGGGTCCCCCCTCCCCACCACACAGGGCAGTCTCTGACGCTGCGGGGCAACGTGCGGTTGCCCCTCCCATGGAGAAGAGACAGGTCCTGCTCCTGGAAGTCACTGACCCAAGGCCAACCAACGGCATGCACGCGAGGGGCCCTGGCCCTGAAACCTCCATGCAGGACTTGGGACACAAAGGGTACTACGCAGACGGAGTCATCGCTTTAAAACTTCAAGGCTCAACCTGCTGTGAAACTGAGACAGGCAGGGATGACAGCAGGGGTCAGCAGGAGCTTGTTGGGGATTAGGCCCAGCGGGTGGTCAAAGGGGGAGCCCACAGGGACTGGGTGTCATTTGGAGGACCGTATGGAGCTGGGCTGAACTATACCTGGGCACAACCAGGAGCCTGCGATGAGAATGTTGGCTGCTGCTGTGGCCCTGGGCAGGCCTGCAGGGGGCAGCTCACCACCAGCCACCCAGCCCAGCTGTCCTTCCAGGAGGAGGCGCCCTCTCACACAGGTAGCAGGCGGGGCTCAGGTCCTCCGGCCAGGTCTGCTGTCACAGGCAGAGCAGCTGGGGTGGCCTTTCCAGAGCCTAGTGGGCTGCAGCCCAGGCACCTGGGTGTCCCTCTCTGTCCCTGGAGGCCCAAGCTGCCCCACCCCCTCTCCTGCCATCAGACCCCAAAGCCCCACTCAGCTTCCCCCTTCTCGGCCAGCAGCCCTGATCAAGTGTAACGCAGCAGGTCCGACCTTCTGAGCTGTGCAACAGGAGGTGACACAGGTGCCCCAGGGCTGCCGTGCAGATTAAGGGAGATGCTGGTGCCCACTGCAGGTGCACAGGGCCATGGCGCCTCTGGAGTGGGGACTGTGAAAAGGCAGCCAACGCCATCAGGGTACAGGAGGCCACGGCTTGGAGAAGTCCATGGCTCCACCACAGAGCTCCCTGTCCTGCTGCTAGGCAGCTGGGAGACAAGGGGGCCAGGGATTCTGGGCAGGGACACTTGGCAGGGACACCGGGCCACTCCAGGTTCACTCTGGGTCTCACAGTCCAAACCACACCTGACCAGACCGGGCCACTCACTAAGCTGTGCCACGCACTTCACAGTTTATCACAGTGCCCACGGGTCACTCTACCAAAATCCAGCATTGGCAAGTGTCATCAAGGATGCCCAGAAAAACCCGGAACCCAATCAGAACTCAGGCTCTGGCCCGTCAGGGTGCCCCCACTGCCACTGACCTTCTTGGTGTAGCCCATGGCCTTCAGGACGGAGTGGTTCAAGGTCTCCAGGGAGGCCAAGACATCCTCGTAGTCCCCCATGTGGTCCACAAAGTAATCTGGGACAGGGCATGTGAAGGGCAGGGATCAGAGAGGTCCCGGCTCCCACCAGTCCCACTTGGGCCCACTTCCGGGCCCTGCCCCACCTGGCCTGCCCCACCCCGGGCCCCAATGTGGCAGCTGCATGGCCAGGCACCTACCGCACAGCTCCTTGGTGTCCACATGGCTGCAGAGAGAGGAGTCAGAGTGGCAGGCCTGTCACATGGGTCCCCTGCAAGGGAGGAGGCAGCAGAGCCCACTGCCTGCTCCCCTGGACTGCCCCACTTCTGTTCGAGCCTGCGAACCACACCAGGAGGAGACAGGCCCAGGATGGGCTAAGCCAGGGCCAGGAGGGCAAGGACTGGGTAGAGGTGGCCACGACTGCTGTGGGTCCTCGAGGGCCCCATCTGCCCCACCCTGGCCTCAGTCAGTCCAAGAGGACAACCCAGGAATCCTGCTGAGACTGACTCTGGTGACTCTGTGCTCTGGGCCACCAGTGAACTGGGTGTCCTGCAAAGCAGCTTGGTGGCAGTCCCTTGTCTAGGCCATCTCTTGTTTTCTCGGGGCCTCCTGAAATTATCTGGACTCCCCAAGCAGCCTCCTAGAAACACTAGCCTTCATCCTGAGTAGGACTGAGGAAGGTGACCAGGTCACCTGAGCGGGCTGCTCTGGCCCTTGGGCGAGCTGCTGGGAGGTGGTCTGGCTGACCGAGTGCAGGCTGGGGTGAGGGCCCTATGGGAAGAGGTTTGTACGGCTGCAGGTGTAGAACTGGCTTGGGGTCCGGTTCTGGTTCGGTATAAAAGGGGCCTGTGTCAGGCTAAGGCTGGGGTCAGAGAAAGCACAGGGCCCCAAGTCAGGCTTGGGGTCCAGAGCAGAGGAAGCCAGCAGCCCACAGTCACTGCCACCTTCCACTGTCACTCAGCACCCTGCAAAGCTGAGGGTGTCCCTTGCCTGGCCTGCCCATGCTGCTTAGACACACACGTCCACTCTGCGTGTCACTGGGCAGGGAGGCCGAACAGATCAGACCCTGGAGGAGCGGGCTGGGCTGGGCCAGGGGCGCAGGCCTCTTTTGGCTGCAGGGACCAGAAGCGGAGGCCCCCGACCCTCACATCAGACCCACTTGGTGTTGTCCGAGTCGATGGTGTGGAAAAGGTCCTCAAGCTCCTTCTCGTTAAGGACGCCATCTGCAAAGAAGAGCTGGAATTCCTCCAGGGAGAGCTTCCCATCATCTGCAGGGGCAAAGGGAAAGCGGCTGGTGTCTGGAGATAAGAGCGGTGAGCCAGGCCACACACCCCATTCAGATAAGCTCCAGCCCGACAGCCTCCCAGGTGAACTCCATTTTATTTAATTATGATCTTCTGCAATACTTGGCATGAAACCCAGGGCCAGCACATTCAGTGAAGGCCCCAACCCACTTTTTATTTTGAGATTGCTAAGCTTCTCAGGCTGGGCTTGAACTTGTGATCTTCCCACCTCAGCCTTTTAGCATGCTGGGGTGATTCGTATGCACCACCACACCCACCAAGCCCCGGTTTAGGTCATCCCTGCCCATCCAGCTTGTTCCTAGCTTAACCATTCTCCTGATTCACTTACCCAGGTAATTTATGAACAGGTGACTCCCCAAGACAACAAATACTACCAGAGCTGGCTGGGGCTTGCTGCAGACCAGCCATCTCAGGGGCATTCCACACATGCAGGGTACCTGCTCCCTGCCAGGCACGCTCGCCTTCATGGTCAAGCCTGTCTGGGCAGCCCTGGGTAAAGATTTAGTAACTGGCCCAACGCACCACCACAACTAGGATGGATCCAAGCCAACCCGTGGAGCCACTGTACGCTGCTTCCAGTGGGCTTGTGGGAAATCCCCAACCCTGCCCCAGGTCCTGCTCTGTGCTGGGGACAGCATATTCTGAGCCTCGTGGGTCAGGCCGGACCAGCAAGGAGGCGGCTAAAGGACACAGTGACTCAGCTGAGTTGCCTCAGCCAGGACAGCTCGAGGGTCTCCACTCGCCCTTGGCTTCCCTGCTCCACCTCTGGGTTCCCTGCACACCTCTGCTTGTCTTCAACGCTCACTCCATGTCCCGAGGGAACACGGAGGCACAACAGGAAGGGGACATGCAGGCTCCCACCGCTGCTGCTGGAGCCTTAACCTGCCAGGCCCCCGCCTCCCAGCCAGTGGGCGCTGGCTCGCTCCCCTGCCCTGGAGGTGAGGGGCAGTTGGGGCTCCGCCCCACACAGGGTTGCTGGCCAAGCCTGGGCTGGCAGATGTATGCTTAGCTGATCCCCTGCCAGCCCCCGCACAGCAGGGGCTGCCCAGCAGGCCACATCCCCTCCACCTCCTCCCATCTGTCCTAGAACCTCGGTCCACTTTGCGCCCCAGCCCCAGGAGAACAGGCAGAGGAGGCTCCATATCACAAAGCCTGCTCAGCTGACATTTACCCAGCATGCCTGGCTGTGGGCCTAATGAACCCCTAGAGCTAATGAGGGCTCCACGTCTCCGCCCCAGCCTCGGCCCAATTATCCGCACCAAGTGGGCGGGCACCTCCGCCCCCACGAGGTCCCGAGCTCCCGGGCAGGGCCTTTTGCAGGTGCTCCTGCTAATGAGCATGAGCTGCTGGCTCAGGGACCTTTCAAATGCCAAGAGCCTGAATGCCATGGTGCATCCCCGGGGGTGCACTGGGCGGCCCCTGCCCCTCTGCCAGCTCTTGCACCTTTCTGGGCTCCACACAGGCTGCCAGGCAGAGGCCTCACTCCAGCCTCTTCTACCCACATCTACCTCAGCCAAGCTGGTTTCCTGTCATGGGAGCCCCGAGACAGACCAGCCTGTTCCTTGCTCTTTTAATCCCAAGGCCTCTGCCCTTCAAACCGCAGCAGCGCTGGGCAGAGGCCACATGCCCGTCTCCCATGCCCAAGCCCACTCCTGCAGGTGCATCGTGGGTGTTTGTGTATCAGCAACCTTGCCAGCACCTGCGTGTACACCTGACCTCGCACCTGCTCGAACACTACCTGTGACGGCCTGCCCACTCCCACATGCACCCCATCTGCTGGCCCTCCTGTGGGTCACTGCCGGCCTGATGCTGGGCTGGCTCAGTCACCTGGGAAAAGCAGAGTGGGTATGCCAGAAGAAGGGTGACTCCCATCCTGGCATGAGACAGGTGCTGTGAGCCTGGGGGAGGAGCCAGGCTGAAGGCCACTGTGCCCCTCCCAGGCCCTGGCACCTCTGGCTCCAACACATAAAGTCTTTCCTGAGTGCAGGCCAGGACCTCGTTTATGGACCAGGAAGCAGAAGTCTCCAGTGTGGCGACATGCCTGAGGTCACAGCGTAAGGGGCTGCCAGGATGTGAACCAGGCAGTGGGGATCCAGGCTAGCCCAACACTCTCCTTGCGGGGGCCAAAGGAGGACTCCTGCATTCTTCGGCTCTCACAGGCCCAGGGCCCCCAACTCCTGCTGGGAACAGCGTGTCACGCCCACAGTCACCTTAGTGACAGCCACCCACAGACTCGAGGGGATGCAGGTCCCAGGAGGAAGCCCAGGCCCAGCCTCTGTGGGGGCTGTGAGAGTGAAAGGGAGGTGCCTGCAGCTGTGCTCAGGGGGTGGAAGGCAGCCTGGCAGGGGTGGGGGGCAACCAGGGAGGGCACCACCCATGTGTGCATGGGCACAGGAGCCACCCACACACCACTGCACAAGTCGGAGAGGCATACGCCCTGGCCACACACAGCAGGGCACAGAGGAGCCACGGAGCTGACAGCTGCAGACTCTGCGGCCTCATCCCCACGCCCAGACCTATGCTGCCACACAGAAAGTGACCTTATGGCCAGGGGCCCCACAGAAAGGTACTGGCCTGCTGTAGCTTGTGTTGGGGGCTCTGCAGGCCATGCACCATGTCACTTAATCTCTCCACACCCTTCTGGCTTTGTGTGACACGGATTCACTGCTGGTGGCCCTACACCCTGGGGCCCAAGAGGCATACCAGTACCTTAGGACTGGGGTGAGGGAGGGGACCCTCAAAATGATTCCAGCCTGGACCTGTGTACCTGCCCCCATCCCTCCCAACAGGAACCGCAGGTGGCCAGGGCCAGCCTGTGGACTTATAAGCCCAGGGCAGTCAGCTGGGCAGGGGTTAATGCCTGCCCGGGTTATAGACGGAGAAACTGAGGCCTACAGAGGGCTCGGACTCGTGCCTTGGTGGAAGTCCACAGGGCCCCGCTGAACCCACTTAAGGTGCGATGCTATTTCTTTTTACTCCACCCTTGTGAGATATGACTGGCCTTCCTGGGGGTGCCTTCTTCCCAAAGACCAAAGGGCTGGAGATGCCACAAATCCAATGGCCACCGCAAGCCGTGCACCGCTTGGAGGACTGTGGGTAGGGGGACATGGCCGGGGTTTTCGATGCAACCTGGGTTTGCCCATCAGCTGTTGACCCTGCGACATGTTGTTCAAGCTTTCTGGGTCATCAGGTGCCGGCAGGACAGGAACCAGCATGGCTGCTCTGGGCCTCCCAGCTCCTAGGCTTGGAAGGCCCCACAGTGAGGCTGTTTCCTAAAGGGTGGTCTCTGAGTCCCACCCTGGGCCACTGGACAGACGGAAGCATCCCAAGTGCTTGCTGCCACCTGCCAGACCCCTTCCTGACATTCTTTCTGCAACTCCGCTAAGTAATAGCTGTTACAGACTGGGCAACCGAGGAGCGGGGCAAGGCTGGGCTCTTGGACTTCAGTCCTGGCCAAGTCACCTTCCCCAACTCCTTGCACCTGAAGCCTCAGGACAGAGAGGGCCCCGTCCCACTCAGCTAGCATGGGGGAGGAAACTCACCATTCTTGTCTGCTCGGCGGAAAATCTGCAGAGAAAAAAGAGGAGTCAGGCCTCAGCAGGAGGGGCAGGCACCCCCCAGCGGTTTCTGCCCCGTACTGAGCCCCTCACCCCCACCTCAGGAGCAGCTCTAGTCTAGGAAGGCTGTGCTTGCTTCCTGGGGGAGGAGACCCTCGCTGGGTGGGGGAGTGAGGGCGGGGTCCTCAGTGGTTCCTGCTAGGGACCGCCCCCACTCCCCTCATGCGGCCAGCTTGCGCACATGGACGCAGGCGCAGTACACTCGCACGTGCCCACACACAATCCTGCAGAGCCCACCAGCTCCTGACCGCCACACGCAAACAGGCAGGACACAGCGTTCCATGGGAGTCACTTGGAGAATCCCTTTACCCTCAGGAGCCTCCGCGGGCAACTATTGAAGGCAGCATCCTGGGGCTTGGCTAAAGCAGGCTGAGGGCAACACTTCCCAGCTAGTGAAGGTAGCCTTGTGGTGCCCAGGCTGACAGTGGTCCCTCCCTTGTGGTTCCTAACACTTGCCTGGGGCCACACCCAGGCTGTGCCCCAGCAGCGCCAGCTGCCAGTGCAGTTAGAGCTCAGGGCACTGCCTAATGTGGCCTCGCCTGTGGGTCTGTGGCACATAGGTGCAGCCTGTTGGGCGCACCCTGGACCATGAGCCAGAATCTGCGGCTCGGCCTGGTCTCTGGAGGTTTAGTTATCTCCACCACACGGTCCAAAAAGGATCCCAGGGCACAGGGCAGCCCCGGCCTGCCAGCGCTGGCTTATTTCAGTCGGGGAAACTGAGGCCCAGGAAGAGCAGGAAACATGCCCAAGTTTCCCAGTGGTTCCAGAACACCAGGGAGGTCTCCCGCAGGATCCCCCTCTTCCCTCCGTGCCCACCCCGGGACAAAGGCAAGTCTTATGCCTGGCATCCTCCAAGCCTGGCTCTGGGACAGCAGGTAGCAGGGCTGGGGAGAAATGCCCAACATCACTGCCTCCCCTCAGCCACACCTCGAGTCCACATGGCCACTCCTGACTGGTAAGGTTCTCAAGACTGGGGGGCTGGCCCAGGGGTCCTCAGACACCCCCTCCCCCAATGTGGTAAAGGAGTGATGGCCACAGGAACACGTGGTGAGAGGTCCCCAGGCAGGTCTGGGTCCTCCACAGCCTCTCGTTCCATTTCACAGATTAAGAAATAGGGTCTCCAGACCGGGCAGGTCACAGTCAGAAGGAGCTGGCAGGAGGGACCTCTGCCCGGATCAGGATCCTGGGAGGTGGTTGAGTCCTGCTGAGTGCATGTTTGAGTGTGTGTTTGTGTGCGGGAGTGCGAACGCGGCCCTGAAGCAGGGTCCCTTTCCCCACCCAGTGCAGCTCATTTGCGGGTTCCCGATTGAGAAAGGGAAAGCAAAGAGAACCAGGAGACCCCTCCCCTGCAGGCAGGAGTAGGGCGCAGAGAAACACAAGCCAACTCAAGCCAGGATCCTCCAGAAGCAAGCCCTGAACCCAAGTTTCCTTCACCAGCTCAGCTTCTCCACAGAGAGTATCTCTGCGCTTCCCAGGGGTGAGGTGTCAGAGGGCAGGGTCTGGGGTCCAAGTGAGGAGAAGGTGGAGGTGGCGGAAGGGGGGTGCAGAGCTGGGGGGTTAGGGGCAGAAGAGCCAGAAAGCTAAAAGGGGCTCGGGAAGCCACATCCAAAGTCGGGGGTGGGCCACAAGGGTTTTCGGCGTTAAAGCAGGGGTGGGGAGTCTGGAGGGAAGAAGTAAAAGAGGCTGGGGCTTTGTTGAGGGGCTAGGAAAAGTATCCCTTGGGATGAAATCAGAGAGGAGGGGCTGGCGGTGGCTCCAGCGCACAGTGCAGGGGGACTTGGTTAGGACAGAAACGGAGGGCGGTGGAGGCTGCGGGGGTTCCGGGTCTCGGGGTGAGAGGGGGGCGGGGAAGGGCATCGCTCGGTCCGGTCCGGGGCAGAGATCGCGCCGCACGATGGGACCGGGGTCCTGCCGGCCGCCCGAGACCTGGGCCGGAGTCCCGGGACCCTGCGTGTAGGGATTGGAGGCGGCGGGGGTCCCGGTGGGTGGGAGGAGGGGGCGGCGGCGCGGCCGCGTACTCACGTCCAGGATGACGGCGGTGC